TTTGGTCGAGTCTGTACGACCCCCCCCCTTCTTTTTGGGAGGGACTTGTACGACCCCCACCCCTCCGGCTCTCTGTTCCCCCTCATCGAATCGAGCCGTCGAGGGGGGGGGGAGGCCAAAACGTAAATACGACCCCCCCCTCCCAACAATGACCAAGTACGACCCCCCCCCTTTACAACGTCCGTGAAGCGAGAAAAATCAACTATCAAAATAAATTTTTCCCAGCCCAAATACGACCCCCCTCTCCTGGCGACCAAATACGACCCCCCTTTTGGGACTCCCCAACAACGATGTGCCTTGGAAATTAGCTGATTGAACGCGTCAGCCATTGTCGATCGGTGAGAGTCCAGACGGAAGAGTGAGTAGTAGATAGCGCGCTGGAGTGTGGTGTGTCGGGCAGAGTCGATGTCAGAGAGCACAGAGGCAGTGATGATGATTGCCCGCTCCCCCTTCCCCTTTCCACGGGCACGCAGCCGTCGGACCACTCACCAGTGTAGACGTAGGGACTCCCCTTCGTCCTTAGCAAACTTGACAGTGTCTGTATCTTCTTCTATATATCTTATGTCTCCCTGGATATTTTAGTGCAAAAACGCCTCAGGTGGCACGGTATCTGACTACATTCCTCAGTTAGCTAGACAAAACCCCCATCTCTGGGGAGTTTCGATATGCACAATCGATGGTCAAAGGGTCTCCCTTGGCGATTACAAAAAGAAATTTTGTCTCCAAAGCGTATCAAAGGTGAGTGATTTCTTTTTCTAATCGACAATCGGTGATGGTGAAATGGTGTATTCAGGCATTCACCTATTCGATCGTCGCTTCGGATTTGGGTCCAGATGTGGTGCATTCGTATGTTGGGCATGAACCAAGTGGCCGGATTTTTGATGAAATCTGTCTCGATGGAAATGGTCTGTATATTTGGCGGTGCCATGGCCAGATGAGGCTGCGTTCATACCTTGCGGCAGTGTCCACCAGGGTTCCGAAGCAGCGGAGTGGAAAGTATGGTGCGATAAGAGGTTATCAGATAGCTGGTAAAGTATGGGGAGATAGGAGGATGGCACACTGCTGGTAGAGAGTATGGCGCGATAGGCAGGGTAACAGACAGCTGGTAGGGTATGGGAAGATAGGAGGATGGCAAACTCTTGCTAGAGAATAAGGCGCGATAGCAGAATAGCAGACAGCTGGTACAGTGTGGAGAATACGAGGTGGTGATAGCTGGTACTCTCCTACCGCCCCGTACTCTCTACCAGCAATCTGCTGCTGGTCGCTGGTGGACACTGGTAAACGCTGGGAGACACTAGATCGATAACTACCCTAGCCCTTGAGACGCTGCTGGTCAGTGGTGGCTCGGACGGACGACGGAATGATGGTGGACGCTGACGCAAAACATGAACGCAGCCTAATGCTTTGGTCAGGGCCAGGCAGAACGCGTGAATCGCTTTTAGCATTTCTTATCATGAAACAGACGCGATGCGAGAGATTCGAGTTGCGGCAGAAGCAACTTCGGAGCATACAGCTTTCAATAGTTAGTTCACATGGGTTATGTAGCAGAATTGGTCAAGTCAATCAGAAACGCAATGTTTTTGGTCGCATAGCGGCAACCCGCATCTTCTGGCTCACGTCTCCAAAACAAGTCTAACGCCCACCATGCGAACGGTTCTGTAGTAAGGAAGTGTCCGGTTGATTTTTAAGTGAGGCTCCACCAGGCTCTTAAGGCGGCTGTGAAGATGGCGTGGAGACTTCACTAGTACTACAACACCTCATCTCGTTTACAGGATGACACCTTTGAGATTCCAGGAAAGCCTCACAACCCGATGATCAATGCAGGTGCGATAATCGTCACATCGCTGTTGAAGAGAAACATGACCATGGCGGATCGTTTCGATTTTGCTTTGCAAGAATACCGGAAAATGGCTGGAGGAGAACACATTGGCTTCGATAACGCGACGTAAGGGCTTATAGTTAGATAGAGCCAGAAGGGATTACGGGTTGTGGGGGCACGGTCGCGTTCGGGTGGGGTATTTGCAGCTTGTTAGGACGCCAAAAGAAATATTCCTTCGGAAGGCATTACGCAGCGCTTGTCGCTTGTGTCAATTAGAGCACCGGACTTCATGTAGACCTACCTCGCCATTGTAGACATGGATGGCTGTGTACGGTTCTGAATTGCCTGTTGTCGCCATCTACTACCTGGAACCATCGTCATTTGCGGTGCGGTCGCACGCGACGCCCACCAGCGCGGTGAATTACGATTCTCTTGTCACATACCCGGTGCAAATGCCCTGCCAGCGATGCCATTTGTTATTGCGCTTCCGATTCGGATCTCCTAACCTGAAGCTATCGGCGTTGTTGCTAGCCTTCCATTCAGATTCCTTTCCGAAAGAGACGCTGCCGATCGCAACTATGCGCTTTCCTACTATATGAAGGAAAACGATTGTTTCCCAAGTGGAACAAAGGTAAGATCCTCAGCCAGGAACTACTTGATGAATCAGCACGGCTTTAGAAACATCATTCAGAGTCTCCGAGAGGAACTGGAACTGTACTTCCAACTTTGTTCAATGGAGACAAACTGCGACACATTGTCCGTTATGGCGGCCACTCTCGCGAATGGAGGTATACTAAATCCCTTGGATGCGCTAGGGTGGCTGCGTACTTCTACTAAACGTGGTCGCGGCTGTGGCTAGATATTTTGGTCTCTGTCCACCATGGAACAAGACGGCAGTTGTCTGGGGTTGAAATATCCCACCAGTAACCCATCCTATGATATGTCCAAACGCCACGCCTACCCCGACTCAGGGATGAGGAGTATACAGAGGAACAGATAAATCCCAACCAGGGCACTTCGTACGTATGGAATCCCAACGAGAGGGGTCGTATTTGGTCGGTGGAGGGAAGGCTAGTGAGGAGTGTTGTGCCTCCAGAAAGCTGCCTTCCCTCGATTTGGCGTGTGCTATGCGAAAATGCCGGACAGCGGTGGAAACTTTAAAAGAGTCGGGTTCTGCAGATTGCTTCACCAACGGCAGGACGTGCGTTGGTTCCCAAAATATATTACATAGGATGTTTTCAGGTGGTAATCAGATAGGCAACGAACTTTACCTAGGTGTCTGCCCTCTTACAAATGAACGTTGCATTTCGCCGCAACCATGTCGAGACGTGCTCTCATTAATGTACTCCTGCGGTATGCATGAACTCAGCGGAAAGTTCGCCTTTCAGGTGAGTGCTGACCACCACTTTTTATGTCTTCTGTATTTATAAGGATGTCCCAAGAATTTGTGCCGAAACTCGGGTTTTTTAACTCGAGCGCGAATTAACTTCCGAGAGGCAGCTTGGACTGACAGAAGGCGGGGGCGGGAGTATTACGCATCATAACAACTGCATGAGCATGAGCTGCTTAAATGTTTGACAAGTGACATCTTCGTGGCAATTTTTTACAGAGGGTAAAAGTTTAAAGACAGTCCCCGCCTTCCTTGAACAAGTGCTTTGGTCCACGTTCCTAAGACTGCCCCCTTTCGCAGCTCCATAAGAAGTAACGAAAGTGCTGTGGCCCTCATAAGTGGCAGTTCTGATGCGTCTCTAGTCGTACTGCCCACCAAAGCTCGAGACTTTCTATAACGAGTTCGCTTTTGACGCCATCTTCTTCTTATTATTATTATTAATTATTATTATTATTA